CGCATTCACCAACACATCAATCTTCCCAAAGGTGTCGGTGGTATTGACCACCAGTTCCTGGATGTGTTCGCTTTCGGCAAAATTCATGACAAACTCCAACGGCTATCAAAACGGCATTCAATTATGATATTCGTGTGAATGAGTGCCCGAAGTATACCTTCAGATGATATGGCGATAAGTGTTGCATCTCTTTGGCCACAGCCTTAACCACTGTCTCGTTCCTACCGGTGACGACCACATGAGCTCCTAGTATGGAGAACAGGGCTATAATACTGCGTCCGATGCCCTCACTGGATCCGGTCACCACCACCACTTTGCCCGTGAAATTACGAAACTTTGTTACTTGCTTATAGTCATCGACATCGAAGTCATCAAAGTTTGCCCCAACTGTTGACAGCAATGCTAACAATAATATGCATTTCATTTCTAATGTTACTTTTGACTGCTTTTCATTAACATTTGTTTGATTAGATTTTTTATACAATTTATGGTTTGTTATATACAGTACATGTAGTAATTGTGGACAATGTGTTTAGGTTCTCATAAACACAGGTATTTATCAATTATAGCTTCATTTTCTTATGAATCCGTCTAACAATTACCGGTAATTCAACTTTCCTATTGTATTTTACTTTTCATAATTAATTAGTACTGTATATAATCGCATACTTGTTATTATAACAATCAGTAAATTTTATATATGAACAATATTTTGATAATCAGTACTTAATTTACTGTGCGGTTATTCTTACATTATTGTTGCACACATTTAGTGACATTTATAATTTGTAATTGAATTCATAATTTTAATGATTTAAAAATTATTTATTAGTTCTTATTTATAGTATTTTTATTGACATTTCATTGAATAGTTGGTTAACCAAAAAGTGCGCCCAAATTGTAGACAAGTCCGCCGTCGACCACCAGATTAGCGCCGGTTATAAATGAGGCATCACTTGAAGCCAGAAATGCCACCCCTTTGGCGATATCTAATGGTTGTCCCACTCTATGCAATGGTATGATATCTTCTATAGTCTTGTCGGAGTCCACTTTCGCTACATTAGTAACACCGGGACTACGAGTAGATAATTATCATCAGTATAATTGTTTACTACTATACTGTAAATATGAAATATCGTATTAAATAAACTATACGATATATACTATACTTTGAGAAAATAAGCAACTGTTGATTGCTTAATAATTAGGAAACTAAAAGTACAGGAAACTAAACGCAAATTAATAATTATAAGAAAAGTAGTATGAAATTTAATAGTTTATAACTTAAACTAAACTAATTTCTTAATTAAAAATAATCTTTTAAATGTCAAACATACTAATCTTTTCAACTAAATTCACAAACTTTGTAGAAATTGATATAACAAAACACAATCAATTAAAACAATATTTATAATAAAATGCAAATTAAGTATTGAGTATATTTAGTGACTATTTTCTATTAGTTTCTATTTTAAACTCAAACTTACTTCAATGTGTTGACACGAATGCCTTTGGGTCCCAATTCGAGGGCCAGTACTCGAGTCAACATATCTAAGCCGGCTTTTGCGGGACAGTATGCCAGTGAAGTCGCAACCTGTAGTTTACAAACAGTTGTGTATAGTTTTGGAAATATAAAATAATAATACAGTAATTATCAAATTCTTATAAATATTTCAATCAATATATTACGGGTTGAATGCCAGCGATACTCGAGATTTCAATGATAGTGCCGTTAGTTTTCTCCAAATGTGGAACCGATTCGTGGATTAGTTCGACGACTGCTCTCAAGTCTATGTTGAAGACCTGATCCCAAGCTTGTAATAAATCTTTTTGATGAATGTCTGTCACGGGATAAATGCCGGCGTTATTCACCAAAACATCTAATTTGCCAAAAGTTTTGATAGTGTTTGCGATTAAAGTGGTGATGACTTCACTTTTGGTCAGATCTCCGACCAATTGTAACGGCTATTAATGAAAATGTATTTAATATTAATAATTCATACGAACTATTGTTGAATAAACCTTTAGTTTCTTTGGTGACAATTCTTCCACTTCTTTGGCCACTTTCTGGACTTCCGTATCTTTCCTACCGGTGACCACAACATTGGCGCCTAATATAGAGAACAGTTTGACAATACCCTCCCCGATGCCAGAGCTGGATCCGGTCACCAAAACTACTTTTCCCGTAAAGTTTCGTGAATTGACCACATCTTTATAGTCATCGATATCAAAATCGTCAAACTGTGCGCTCACTATAGACACCAATGCTATGAATAATAGGATTTTCATTTTTTAAAATCTGTTTTGGAATTATTATTAACTAATAAATATATTTCTTATTTTATACCTTTTTATTTTATTTATCTTAATCTACTATATGTGCCATATTTATAAAGTGAATATTGTGCCGTACCATAACAATTTTTAATCATAATTAATGTGTTAATTCTCTCACAAAAACTTTTATTTTTAAAAATGATTACCGGTAATCATCAGTGTCACAATATTTGATATTTATTTCAAATATCGATAATTTAAATCCATTGTTTTATGCAATTATAATTATACAATTTAAAATATTAAATATGAATTATTGTAACTAAAATAATACAGTAATAAAATATTATTTTAAAAATCATAGAGACTTAATCTAAAGCCAATTACTCTACTTCTTAATCATAATTATAATATAAATTCTTGTTTTCTTTAAACGTTTCACATCCCAAGAGCTCCCATATTATAGACGAGTCCGCCGTCGACCACAAGGTTAGCACCGGTTATGAATGAGGCATCACTTGAGGCCAGGAATGCCACCCCTTTCGCCATATCTAATGGTTGTCCCTCTCGTCTCAATGGCGTTATTTTGTCAACTCCTGGATCACCAGTTTTATCCACTTGAGTGGCGCCGGGACTACAATTTTTTAATAATTTACATTATTATACTTAATACAAGATTTTCTATTTAAAAATTGATAATAATTTACTTCAAAGTGTTGACACGAATGCCTTTGGGTCCCAATTCGAGAGCCAGTACTCGAGTCAACATATCTAAGCCGGCCTTTGCGGGAGCGTAGGCTAACTCTTGAGACAACTGTATATTTGTATAATTAAATGAAATATAATTAAACATTATTTTTAATAATAAATTAAACTGATAGTCTTATATACCGGTTGCATTCCAAAAATACTCGATATATTAATGATAGTGCCATTAGTTTTCTCCAGATATGAAACCGACTCATGAATCAGCTCCACAACAGCCCTTAAGTCTATGTTGAAGATCTGATCCCATGCTTGCATTAAACCCTTTTGTGTGATATTAGTCAATGGATATATTCCTGCGTTATTCACCAATATATCTATTTTGCCAAAGGTTTTCACTGTACTTTCGACCAATAGTTTGATGACATCAGGTTTGGTGAGATCTCCGACCACTTCTAACGGCTATTCATTATAATTGCATTCAATCTTATGGTATAATTCTTAAGAATATTTACAGTATTTATACAAACCTTTAGTTTCTTTGGCGATAATTCTTGAACTTCTTTACCAACTCTCTGGACGTCATCAGCTTTCCTACCGGTGACCACAACATTGGCTCCCAATATGGAGAACAGTTTGACAATACCCTCCCCGATGCCAGAGTTGGAACCGGTCACCAAAATTACTTTCCCCGTAAAGTTTCGTGAGTTAATCACATCTTTATAGTCTTTGATATCAAAATCATTAAACTGTGCGCTCACTATAGACACCAATGCTATGAATAATAGAATTTTCATTTTTATAATTTATTTTGCAATGAATAAAAACTTGTTTATAATTGACTGCTTTTATGTTATTTATATTATTTGTATTGATATAATAATAGAAATAAAAATATTCTCTTTACAACTAATACTGTTTTAAAGTGACATAAAGTATTATCATACTTTCAATAGATGTGATCACTATAAGTGTGTTTGTTTTCCCATAAAATATACTTTTATTTGTTATTAAATTAAGAGTTAATAGATACGAATCGTATCGTATCATACGATACTTATAACATTTATTTTAACAAGTTCTCAAAAATTTATACTTGTACAGTATAATTATTATTTTAAATGGATATTTCAAACAATAATTATAAAATCATATTTGATGAAAGGTTAATTTTTAGTATATTTTTAAAAGCTAATAATAATTTAAATTAATAATTAATTAATATTTTCAAAACACTCATAACCTAAACTTTAAGAGCGCCGGCATTATAGACAAGACCGCCGTCGACCACCAGATTAGTGCCGGTTATGAATGAGGCATCACTTGAGGCCAGGAATGCCACCCCTTTGGCGATATCTAATGGTTGTCCCACACGTCTCAATGGCGTTATCTTAGCATATTCTGGATAAATTGTTTTTGTCACTTGAATTGTACCGGGACTGAAATTATTTAACATAGTTATCATATACTGTATAATCAATAATTTATTTATTATTTGAGTAGAAAGTAATTCAAACTCAAAAATATATAATTATTTTGCAAATAAATCTTATATCAGAAACTTAGAATGATTATTATAATGTTTACTATTATAAGAAACTGTCATATTGAGTATATGTAAATTTTTATAAGAAAACTTTGAATTATAATTAGGATTTGACTTCTTCGCCCCGCCCCGCCCCACCCCGCCCCGACGCGCCCCGTCCGCCCCGACGCGCCCCGGTAAAGAGAGAGAGAGAGCTAATTATATATTAAATTATTATTAATTACTAAATTTTTTATTAATTTAATACAAACATATTTACATGTACTAATACTAAATTAATTAATAATTTACTAATTATAATTGTAATTATATATAAATAGCTCTCTCTCCCATACAAAACAACAATATCGGGAGAGAGAGCTATTTATATATAATTACAATTATAATTAGTAAATTATTAATTAATTTAGTATTAGTACATGTAAATATGTTTGTATTAAATTAATAAAAAATTAATATTTAATAATAATTTTCATAAAACTAGCTCTCTCACCTAGGTGGGGTGCGGTAGGGTGCAGTGGGGTGCAGTGGGGTTTTAAAGTCAAATCCTTTGTATAATATTCTTCCAATATAAATAGTTTTAATTTAATACTAGTATATTAATATGTTAATAACTTTTTGGACTGTTTTAGAATTTGGACTGTTTTTAAAATAAAAATTTCCACAAATATTTCATAGTTTTTTGTTATTAATTTTTTATATTATTTTAATATTAAATATATTTTAAAATTATCATTGAAAAACTGTAAGTAAAATTTGGCAAAAAATAACTGCCGCCCCGACGCGCCCCGTCGCGCCCCGCTAAGAGAGTATTTAATGTAGTTTTAAGTAAAATCAGTTAATAATTTACTAATTATAATTGTAATCGCATTTTAATACCTCTCTCTCCCATTCAGGAACACAAAATTGGGAGAGAGAGCTCTTAATGTGTGATTACAGTTATAATTAGTAAA